GAATAGCAAGGTCCCTGGTTCGAGTCCCGGTGGTGTGACTGATGATTTTTTCTTTCTTTCATATCTGGCTTGCAAGTGTTGTGTTTCGGAGAGAAAAGAGCAGTACGTGGCATGTGGCCTCAAATTTCCTAATACTTCGAAATTCTCCGTGAAGCCCCAAACTTTTAAATTGCAATTTGTATTTGCTCGCAGTGGGCATGGTTTGATGCGCTCCCCATGATATCAAGCGAATGGCCCGGCCCTCTTGATTGGTTTGACTTGCCAGTATGATGCAAGCCAGATATGGATTGATTGAAGAAGGATAGATTGACCATCACTGTGGATAAGAGTCATACTGTAGCTCAGTTGGTTAGAGCATTGCTCGCGAATAGCAAGGTCCCTGGTTCGAGTCCCGGTGGTGTGACTGATGATTTTTTCTTTCTTTCATATCTGGCTTGCAAGTGTTGAGTTTCGGAGAGAAAAGAGCAGTACGTGGCATGTGGCCTCAAATTTCCTAATACCTCTTAGGGCCGTTTCACACGAGGTACAAAATCGCGTACATGTCACATTTCCGGTTATGTTCCCTAGGAGATGGAGCACTTTTGGCGCGAAATGTGAAATGCATCGTATACGTTTTCAGCAAGACCAGGAGGGGTGTAGAAAGCAGGATATACCCAGCGTTCTACTGACAAACTTCGTTTTCCTTGCATTGTGATCTGTCGTCGTGTTTGCTTTTTTGGTTCTGTTTGCTTTCATTGCTGGTTGCTGGTTGTGCCTTCCGTTTCGGACAATGCCTCGCCAAATATTCTCTGAAGACCTGGAGGCTAGACTTATTGAGTTGTGGGCCGACTATCAAGAGCATAAATTTCGCGCGACGCCTGCGAGAAGACACCTGAGTGGACTCGATCAAATTGAGGAAATCAAACCTTCCGCTCAGGATGGTTGAATCCAGAGAAAAACTTGAAATTACACTTCGAACAAGCGAGGGCAATGCAGTCCTTCTACGCCTCGCCATCCTTTGCAACCTCTCTCGTCCGTTCATCTTTCTCTCCTTGTGGCGATCAAAGAAAACGAGAATCAGGGAGAGAACATCTCCTTGCCAAACTAATAATAATATTATTATTTTGTGTTCAAAACTCCCGCGTTCGCGTGCGGATTCCGTGTTTTACGACTTCTGTGCGAGGCAGGTCAAAGCTGCCATGGCAACTGCTGCTTGAAAAGCATGTTGCGACACTCGTGTGAAATCACGCGCTGTGTACTGTGCATAGAACGCCCATTCGTGAAAAGCCATGTATACCTCGTGTGAAACGGCCCTTATAAAGTTATAATTAGGCCACACTGAAGAAGGTCTGTGGTTCGACTCACCCGACCGACCGTACATTTTTCAGCCCGACCGTAACTTTTTTTCGGCGGGCTGTCGTGTGACTGACGTACGTGGACTGAACACGTCCACGTCTACGTGTTGTGCAGCGCGCGCGTGAGTCTGCGGACGCAGGCGGCTCCTTTTGGACTTGACTTGTAGTTGTACTGCAGTGCAGTGCAGTGAGTGGTACGACTGCTGCCTTGTGCTGGTAGTAGAGTATTGTATTGTATTGTATTGTATTGTATTTATTTAAAAGGATTCTCCAAAAGCAAATGGATGCTTATCACGGAAGTCTCCCACATAAATATCGCAAGAAAAATGGGGAAATGGGGAGAGGAGCGTGGAAGATGAAGCATGGGAAGAAGGGAAACAAGTACCTAAATATCGAGGTATAAAAGCAGGAAAGAAATCGACGAGGGAAGAAATCACCTCTGCAGATAATAGCGGGACATTTAGATGAAAAAAAACCCCAGCAAGGATTAATTTCAAGGAAAACAAATTCTCAAACGGAAAAGTTCGGAATTCCAGTCAGAGAATATCTATGCTGAGAGTAATGAGCCTTTAGAGCAATGCGAAAATTGACAGAGGACTGAACGCAGCGGATGTGTTCTGGAAGTTTGTTCCATTCCACAGATAAACTGAAGAGAGGGGATTTAAGGAAATGGGCGCCAGAACGAGGTAAAACTATAGAGGACGGGTGACGACAACTAAGGGATACATTGAATTTGAAACGAATTAGCAAAGACGGAAACTGGTAAAAGACATGATGAAAATACAGCAAGGACAGAATCTGACGACGCCACTTTAGAGATGACCAGTCACAAGTACGATTAAGAATCTGCTTCGGGGTTTCCCACTCAGGAGGGTGCCGGGTCTTACAAAGCAGATATGAACGAGCAGCAACGGCTTGCAGTCGGTCTAACGTAAGCGAATCTGAATGGGATACGGCGAATGACCAGACAGGGACTGCGTATTCTAACAGTGGTCGTACGTAACACTTGTAGAGCAAATTCACGGTTGAAGCAGAAAGGAAATGGGTCATATGGCGCAACAGAAAAACACGACTGCGAAACTTATGGGTGATAGATTTTATATGGTCAGAAAAATTTAGTGAAGGAGTGATAGTCACGCCGAGATGACAGTAGCTATCACCTTTCTGAATAGGCACACCGTTCATTGTCAAGGGGGATGACGGGCCGGGGGCTAATGCACATTTTTGAAAGGGTAGGTGGACGCATTTACTGGTGTTAAACGTCATGGCAGTAGCTGATGACCATTGACAACACTTATCAATGTCAGTCTGGAGCAATGCATGATGGATAGGAAGTGAGGTGTTTGCTGGAGAAACAAGAATTAAATTAGAGTCATCAGCAAAAAGGGATAGGGTACTAGAAGCAGGGGCATCAGGAAAGGAGTTGATGCACAGGTTAAAAAGAAGCGGGCCGAGATGGGAACCTTGGGGTACGCCAGCGGTGATGGGCAAAGGGTCAGAAAGAGTCTACTCGATACGACCACCGGCAGACTGGCGAGACTTATTTTGAAGTGACTGTCCGGTTGAGAGTGATTGCCTCGTTCCAGATTAAGGACGGCCTTCTGTTTTGGGATGAAGGACAGACGAGATTGCACTTTCCTCGTGTATTGGGAACGATATTTCACCTGTACCGGTAAGTTGCTGCTCCATGTGTGCAAGCACAGGAAGCGTCGATGGAAAAAGCCCATGTATTCGTGCACGCCGACACCAAACTAGCAATACATGTACCGGTACATTGTACAATTTGTACTTTGATTGAGTTCGAAGTAGTTCCCGACCTTACTTTCAACTCGCATCGTTCTTCATTTGCTTGATGATTTGGACAGTCAGAGTCACCGCTTGAAGTTATTCTCTTCTCGTTCCAGAGCTACACAATGTTTCAAAGTATTAGCCAGTGATCCCTTTATACAACATGTATGGCATAACACTGCGTAATAATGCCGATGTACTGGGTGTCTAAAGGCAGTACAGTGTATTTACATGTACTAAAAAATATATTTAAAAAAAAATCCGCCCGCCCGCCCGTCAAAAAATGTCCATGTTAGTCGAACCACACACCTTCTTTAGTTTGGCCTTATATCAATTTTCAGCACACCTCGATGTGATCTGCTTTCAAGCAATGTGCATAATCAGTAAATTGATGTTGCTGTTTTTGTTTTGTTTTTGGTTTCCCGTTCTCGGTAGCCCTTTCCCAAAGGTGCTCGCCCTTTTTTCGCCCTTTTTGGAAAAGCCCGTTTCTTTCGCCCTTTATTGCGTTTTTGGTGAATATCGCCTTTTTGAGCTTTTTTAGCTGAAAAAGTGCCAAAATCTGCTTGCTCATGCATTCGATCACAGTTTCAAAGTGCTCGATGGGCCTTGGCACGCCGCTTTTTTGGGGGACAACAAGTTGGTGAAGCTTGTACCCGGTGTAAAAAGTGGTTTTTTGAGCTTTATTTCCTGTTTTGCCTTCGTAGAGCCATAAATGGAAGAGTGCGTATTGATTTCTCAGCTTGGGTTCATATCTGAACATGTATCATGGTCATGCTTCACTGAAAAAAGAGCACTTTTCGCCTGTTTTCACTGAAAAAAGAGCACTTTTCAGCATATTTTGAGGGATGCGAAAAGCACTAAGTGCGAATTAAAAGAGCACCTTTGGGAAAGGGCTAGTTCTCGGGGCCTTCTATTCGGTGCTCTTTGTAGTTGTACTTCTGTACTGTTGAGCTATCTGAATTCAAATAAACACAAAAAACCTCTTATAAAGACCAGTTTAGTTATAATTATATAAATTTTCAGCACACCTCTTATAAAGTTATAATTATATCAATTTTCAGCACACCTCTAATAAAGTTATAATTATAATATTATTGCTTATCTTGTACTACTAGAGAGGTTGCGCACAACGAAAATTCATAAAATGTTGACCGTCCGGGTTTTCGTCCGTAGGAGTAAGTAAAAAAAGTAAATTATCGTATCCGTTCCCGAAGGGAACTCACGACGGCCGCTAACACCCGATAAACCCTAGCGGCAGATGCAGCACTCCGTTGGAGTACTATACTGATATTTTACAACTCCCTGTCTTGACCCTTCGCACCCGCGCGGCCGCCGCACCACTACGAAAAAGTTCACAAGTTGTGCTCAGCCTCTTGGTTTACGAATACCCGTTTGCTTTTTTCGTTAAAATATTTTGTTACGGTGCTACAAATTTTCGTTGTGCGCAACCTCTCTACTGAGAGCCTAGCCGTGCGGGTAGACGAGACGACAGTGTGCATCTGGTGAAGTAAAAAAAAAAAAAAAAAAACGTCCTTGCTCCAATACCTAGTCAAAACAATGCTTGTGTGATACATACGAGGACATGTCAAGTGTGCTATGATAAGCTGTATACAGCCATTGCGTGAGTTGCCAATCCACGCACTTTACTTTGCATCAAGTGCTAGAAGTATGCGACGTTTGCAGCTCTTCGTTTACAGAGGGGTTTCCTACATTTCTTTCCAATCAGAATACCAGTACTAGGAAGATCACGTAGGGGTTGTATTTCATCTACACTCTGTACGAGAACACTTTCGATCATTATGTCATTTTTTTACCATTAAGTTATGTCATCATTGTGACCAATACGTCATCATGAATCGATGAACTCCATAGACCTACCAAGGATACAAGCCATCATGTTAATGTACTTGAACACACTGATTGTACAGAACTACTCACAGCCACAAACCTGTGCGTATAACAAGGGTTTGGGGAAGAACAATGTGCGACCAGTACGGATGGGGAACAAGAAATACATCAAATAAGGAGGAGATCAAAACAATCAAAAACACAGCATAGAATAGAGAGGAAAGAAACAAACTGTTCCGGTGGTTATTAGATACGAAAGATCACGTTTGATATGTTTACAATAATCTCGTAAAAGAAGGGACATTTCTAGGAAAATATTTTACGCAAGATCAAGAAAAGGATTATAGAAAGAACTTGAAATTTCACAAAAACAATCTTAAACGACTCATTTGTTTCCTTGTCGCCTAATTTGCCATGTAAGTACAACGTAACACATGTACACGCACACACGCACGCGCACACACACACACACACACACACACACAGAAGCACATAATAGCACGTGCGCGTACACACCTGCACCCACACAAAACCACTTCACATGCGTGCACACACACCTCAGACCTCAGACTTGCCCATCGCGGAAGCGATGATAGCGAACAGCTATGTTAGACATAGCAACTTGTGCTGGGATTACACCATTCAACAGCTTGCAAGGCTGATGAATTGACCGCCACTATTTTTAGCCTGGTATCCACCACACAGCTGATTGAAGTGACTTTTTCTGGCCAGTGAATCCCTATTTTTCATTTTTCCATTTTTTTCTTTTTTCTTTTTTCTACACACACACACCACACCACATACTCCGGCATACACTGGCTGTTGGTAACCACCCAGGAGAATGAAAGAAAAGTCAGGAAGAGACCGAGAAAGAGAAGAAAGACGTGTGCGACCATAATCGTCGGTAATTGAACCCGCAACCTCTACACACACACACACACACACACACACACACACACACACACACACACACACACACACACACACACACACACACACACACACACACACACACACACACACACACACACACACAGAAAGTGACGACTTGGAAGGAGAACAGCTTGAAGCACATGCGCTAGTTGTCACATACTTTGTGGCACACTGGACAGGCCAGCTGATCAGATCTGCTAGTGCGCTTCACTCCTTGCACAACTTTGTCATAAGAGTGATGGCACAGGTCACATGTAGCATAGACTACACGCGGATCAAGACGACGTCCGTCTGTTACGGAGTATGGATGACGATGTTGGCAGGCTGGACATTGAGTTACCCTGAATACACGGACACACATAACCCAGGACACACATATGCACATACAGGCCCACAGAGAAAGACACATATGTACAAACAAATGCACACGCACACACACACACAAACACACAAACACGGACAGATACACACGCACACGCGCACACACACACACACACACACACACACACACACACACACACACACACACACACACACACACACACACACACACACACACACACACACACACACACACACACACACACAAACACGGACAGATACACACACCCACACCCACACTTGTACTTGTTGCTCACTGCCAAAACTGGTCGCATGGGTCTCCCCGGGAGAGGGGAGAAAGACTCAACAGGAACACACACACAGTTCCACTTGTATTCAGCTCCAGAATTTTGCTTGTGGGCTGACTCGTAAACCACACCATACCCCAATGTAGGCCACGTCATTGGTACTGAGCGTAGATTTGCAAATGTCTCGCGTTCCATTTTAATAATTCCTGTCATACACTCAATCTGCGAACAGCATGCAGTTTCGAGCTTTGTCTACTAATCAGAGTAGCACAGAGAAAATGAGGCCGAACCTGACAGAAATGAAAAATTAAATTTCCATCCAAAGCCAGTCATAAAGGAGAGAGTTTGAAAGCTCAGGGCCCTCGCTATGCTTTTTTGCTTAGGCTATCATGCATTCCACAATAGCAACAATACGATCGTCGTGCACATGATTTTTGTATTGCAAAGACGTTCCCGGTTTTCACTGAACGGAATTGAACAATCCAAAGATCCATTCGCATTAGAACGTTCTCAGCTACAGGCTCGAACAAGAGCTGAAAAAAGAAACTTCAGCTCATAAAGGAACATAGATACATAACTCAAAAACTCCAACCCCCGGACAGGTACATTCTACCAAGTTATAATACGCTATGGTTCTAGCTTATTTCATTATTTCAATTTTTTACAACACATATATTCCCTCGATACACTTCGCAGACACTCACATTCTACTTCACGTTGTGATCCTGCACTTGAAAGTCCTATATCAACATATGGCCCTCCGTCTTTGCCGGTACGGTACGGGACATGAACGAGATAATCGATAGGGCCAGGCATAGATCATGTCTTTTCTCCTGCCGACTGGATGCCTGTTTAGTGGTTTCTCGCTATCGACGCATCCTGTCACGAAGTCGGCGAGTCTCCAAACGACAGGATCTTTGCTCGGTCGTTTCTTGTTGTGGCCATAGCCGTTACTAGGGTGGGGCAATTCGAGGGCTGCTGGAGGGACCCCTTCAATGTGGTAAACTTCTCTCGTTGTATATTCTTCGATTTCTAGTACAATGAGTCACATAATCTGCCATGGACGGCATCTCGTCTGGGCCTGACTCATGTTGACCCTCAAACATAAAGTCCCAAACAATATCGAAATCCACGGATCGGTCTGCTCGACAAACTCCCAGACGCCTGATGGAATCGGGACATAAAACTCTCGATGGAAGCAAATACCTGGCCTACTGATAACTCCAGCTTCTGGAAACGCTCTAGCGAAACAGATTTGGGTCTACTTAACGATCTGCGGGCCGATTTCTTTCTGACACTTGACGTGGATCCGATATCCTACGCCGCTATACTCACCTGGTTGTCCGTCACCAGCACAGGATCAGCTCCCTCAGAACCGGGAGGAGAACATGAAGACATCTCGACGGTGAACGAAGACACGCACTGAAAACTACTAGCGCCAAGAAAAACCTGAGACTACTATGTACAGATTATCTCTGAACGCCCTATTCGAATATGTGGCCCGCTTTCTTTTACGGAACGGTACAGTATGGGCAGCATGGGACGGTACGGGACACGTACGGGATACCTCGTCAACCACGGCGCGTCACGTTAACCCTTTGCCGGTCTAACTCAATGTATGTGAGGGGTGGTCACGCAAATACATGTACACACAACCAGCAATAACTCAAGAACCATGTGATGTAGGTATGGGTAAACCATATGTTTTCAAAATCTGTATGCCTGAACGCGTCCAGAAAATTCAAATATGACTAGGTCCAGGCAAGGATAGGGCCCATGGTAGCCCTTCAAGGTGAGAGAAAATACAATTGCGAATGAAATACACGAATATCACAGCACGAAGGGCATACCAAGTTCGTGATGGAGCTGAAGTCGCACGATAAACAATCAGGTAAGGGCTACGTCTTTACAAGAAAGGTAAGCTCTCTACAATACCGCCATTGAACACCAACACCTCGCCATCGGCGATACGCCAGCAGCAGCAATTCCCATTCCACGATATCGCAGTTTCGGTTTGTTCATCTCAGCGCTGCTCGCGTCAGATTCACTCTCGCTCAGATGAGTACTCAGGCGCGAGCTTACGCATGCCGTGATTCTCACGGCCAGGCGAATCAGCTGATCGCACCTGACGAGTCCTTGTGACAGTCGCTGTTGCCGTGTCGGCAGCAAGAAGGCTTCCTCTCTGTTTGGAGAATTTTGTTTCTTCATTCGTGGACGATATATTTTTGAACTAGCAGGACTCAACGGAGCTCTTTTTCTCAACACACTACACTGCAAAATCTCCCGGGAGATCCAGCCTGGACTGGTGAAGTTACTGCTCTCAGAACGCTTGTCAAACACGGCCCCAAGAGATGCACTCGCATTCTTGAAATGCGCGCATGGCGGATGGTCGTCTTTTCCAATTTCAACAAACTTCAGTCGATCGATACGGCAAAAATTTGTATGGTAAGCATGGTTGTTTTGTACATCGTCAGAAAGCCTTGGACCTCAGCTACGCGTAGAGCGCCATTTTAGCTGTCTCCTAGCAACAAGACCCCAAAAAATGAGGGCCAAACGTACCGATACTATAATATCGATTCGCTTATGGTAGACCGGTAAAGGGTTAAAGGCACCATAACACACAGACACATACAGATACATATACATACAGGTACATACAGACACATACAGACACATACAGACACATACAGACACATACAGACACATACAGATACACACATACAGACACATACAGATACACACATACCTACACCGAATTAAAGCGGTGTGGACCCTGGCTAAAACCAGACGTTACTGAAGTAACATCTTTTGCATAGCTACGGGCATAATACATAATGTCATAATTCCGGTCATACACGTGTGCTCACGAATGTCCCACTGACGGCTAACTGATATTGTTTCCGGGACCCAGTAGACATGCATAACACATCACACACCATCCAGCTGTGCACCACAACGTAGCTAACAAGCATACCCCTCGCAACATTGCCTTGCAAGATATGACAGAAAGACAGACAGACAGACAGACAGACAGACAGACAGAGAGACAGACAGACAGACAGACTGACAGACTGACAGACTGACAGACTGACAGACAGACAGACAGGCAGACTGACAGACACACACACACACAAACACACACACACAAAGACTGATACTAATTTATCTCACCAGTCCTCGGTGGGTTCTCCGCACTCTTCACAATGCACTTCTTCAAACTCCATCTTGTTTTGCCTCGCTGCCGCTGCTGCACCTCCTCGTCGATTGGATTTCCTACAATAGCCACCGCCATTGCACAACACAACACAGCACAGCACAACACCACACAACACAGCACAGCACAGCATAGGATAACTTAGCGTAGGACAACAGAGCATTGTTGGGCAAAGACCAGCACAACAACACAGCATTGGTCAAAAACCAACACAACAAAGAACAGCACAGCACAGCACAGCATAGGACAAAGAACAGCACAACGCAGCATTGTTGGGCAAGGGAGGCAAAAACAGCAACAGCATTGTGTCTTTACTTGATGGCTTAGCGGCATCATACACTCCCTGATGAAGCCCCCAAGGACGAAGATTTGGAGATATATATTTTCGAGTGCAGTATAAGACCGTGGTAGTAAAGGAGATTAAGACATGCCTAAGGGACAATGATGAAGAAACGTTGTGAGTAGTGTTAAGCATGTGTGCGGGCGGGCACAACACTTGTTATCCCTTGTATTGACAACTCCATGCCAATACACAGGAGTAGACTGGAGCTGAAAACACCAGAACCCTGGTCCGCGGAGGGAAGGAGGGAGGGAGATAGATAGATAGATAGATAGATAGATAGAGAGAGAGAGAGATAGAGAGAGAGAGAGAGAGAGAGAGAGAGAGAGAGAGAGAGAGAGAGAGAGAGAGAGAGAGAGAGAGAGAGAGAGAGAGAGAGAGAGAGAGAGAGAGAGAGAGAGAGAGAAAGAGACAGAGACAGAGAGACAAAGAGACAGACAGAGACAGACAGAGACAGAGACAGAGAAAGAGATAGAGATAGAGACAGAGGCAGAGACAGGGAGAGAAAGAGAAAGAGAGAGAGAAAGAAAGAGAGAGAGAGAGAGAGAAAGAGAGACAGAGAGAGAGAGAGAGAGAGAGAGAGAGAGAGAGAGAGAGAGAGAGAGAGAGAGAGAGAGAGAGAGAGAGAGAGAGAGAGGTAAAGAATTGCGTAACACCTGATGGACTTACTCCACGAAGATATCCACTGCCAAGTCTTGCAACTTTTCCTTCAGTTCACTCTCAACGTTAACCAAGTCATCCAAGTGAGTGAATGCCTGAAAATATGTATTCACGCACACACACACACACACACACACACACACACGAGCATGGGCACGCGCAAACCATTAAAAAAAAACGAACACAAACATGAGTGTCTGAGGATAACAATACTGCTGCTCAGGCATATGATCATTTTGTGACTACCCCCCCCCCCCCCCTCTCTACTCTCACCCCCCCCCCCCCCCCCCTCTCTAACCTCACCCCCCCCCCCCCCTCTCTAATCTCACCCCCCCCCCCCCTCTAATCTCACCCCCCTCTAATCTCACCCCCCCCTTCCCTACCCCCATTCTCCCACACAAACCCACTCCCCTCCCCTGCCCTCCTCCACCCCCCCCCCCTTTCCGCCCCACTAGTATCTTAGTGCTTGCAGCCCTGTATCATCTCCATACTCAGGCTATTGATATTTTGTAGGTACATGTATGTGACTTGACAATATCAGCCTCTTGTGATGGGTGCTGGGAATAGATCTTGAACGTCCATCGACTTTACTTTTCCTTCTCTGCTTTCTCTCCTTTTTGTTTTCTCAGTCTGGATTCTTTCCAATTCCCTCCTTTTCTTCCTTGTCTCTTGACTCTTGTCACTGATGCGAAGTTTTCAATAAAATCTGATGTAGGCCATTGACGACAAGACGGCATATGAAACACTATCTCCACAAGGAGACACGGAGACGACAGATACACAACTAGACCTGCAAGACTCAGGACGAGGATACGTGCACACACGAACAACACATATACAATAGCAACATGCACACACAGCACGTCCAAGAAGTGATGATGCGGATTCTTATAATCTTACCCGTGATGTGTGTCGATCACACTGAGCCATGGCTGCCGACAGAGCTACCAGTAAGAATAAGTCCTTTTCCGGCAATACGTCATCATACTCACTGGCAATCAATGCCTGCATGTATTGCAGAATATCAAACACACAAGCACACGCACACATGCACATGCACACACACACATGAATTGTACTGTACTGTACTGTACTTGCTCACTACCAAAACTGGTCACGTGTTTCTCCCTGGGAGAGGGGAGAGATACGCAAAAGGAATCTTGGAAAGATGACTCAATTGGCTATTGAACCGCCCAACGGCTGACAGCCCCTGAAATCCCCGAACTATGGAGATGGTCCCACCTATGGGCTCACCACACCTCAGTAAGTGGGTAAGGACAAGGTGCAGAAAAAGGGTTGACGGCATCAAGGTATCCCCCCCCCCCCCCCCCGGGATCCAACTGCAGTTACCCCTGCTCCCAGCGGAGACACTACTAGTGTAGATTGCTAGATCAGAGCGGATCTGATGTAAGCTTCAGTAGCACCATTGATTACACACGAGTTAATCTGGCCAGTAGAACACACACATACACAAATGTTCAAAAGACCTTAATTGCATCATTTGGGTATCGGTCAAAGTTATAGTTCAGATGCCAAGTGATGTCAGAGGTTTCGTGAAGAGAAAAGAACTGTATGCATGTTGTGTACAAGTCAGAGTCTACAATGTGCAATCATGTACATGACATGCATCATGCTCAAATGCGCACACATACATATGCACATCATAATAAATATGCGGTGTGTGTATGTGTATGTGTGTGTGTGTGTGTGTGTGTGTGTGTGTGTGTGTGTGTGTGTGTGTGTGTGTGTGTGTGTGTGTGTGTGCATATGGTGTGTGTGTGTGTGTGTGTGTATGTGTGTGTGTGTGTGCATGTGTGTGTGTGTGTGTGCATGTGTGTGTGTGTGTGTGTGTGTGTGTGTGTGTGCATATGGTGTGTGTGTGTGTGTGTGTGTGTGTGTGTGTGTGTGTGTGTGTGTGTGTGTGTGTGTGTGTGTGTACGGCACACTGAGTCTTTTGTTACCCAATTTCATACAGTACATGTAGCGTTGGCCATTGTAATGGTAAGGGCATACCATTCTGAGTGCAGCTGCGATATCTCCTTCGTAAATGTTATGCTGAGCAGTCAGGAAGAAATGAATAGCCTGGAAACGAAAGAAAAATGCACAGAAACAGACGCACACTCGCAAACACTCGAACAGAGATACACACACAAACACACACAAACACACACACACATGCACACACGCATGAACATAAACAAGCAAAATTTGATCCTGAACAACTGTTTACACAAAGTCACCCTTGTGTTTAAAATCAGCAGACACATCACCTATGGAGACTGCTAAGGATCACGCTCTATCATGCCAAGAGAATGGCACGCAAGAACGTCACAAGAGAATGGCACGTGAGAATGTCACAAGAGAATGGCACGTGAGAATGTCACAAGAGAATGGCATGTGAGAATGTCACAAGAGAATGGCATGTGAGAATGTCACATGGGAAAGTCAAGTTAACTGTGAATCTTGTTCAAGTGGGTAATGCAACCTTGATATGTCGGTGTTGTCATAATCACGACAAACGCTTTCCTTTTGGCACAGACTACAAGCTTTTGAGCGACCCGAGTTACCCGAAACCTTTCTTTTTCAATTTGAACCCTGAGAGGAGAGAGGATGCGTCAGGAATATGTACCTCAATGGAGATGACAAGTGTCAATGCGGAGTGAAGTGACATGTACTGCACTAACGGGATGTCTGTTTATGTTTCCCTTGGTCAAAGACCAATGCAAGCATGTGCCTAGGTATAGGAAAGCTGGCGTGGACATGGCCTGGGGTTAGTCAGTTACAGCAATGAGCACACTCTTGTGACATGGTCTGGGGTCAGTCAGTTACAGCAATGAGCACACTCTTGTGACAGGGTCTGGGGTCAGTCAGTTAGAGCAATGAGCCCACTCTTGTGACACCGTCTAGGATGAGTGAGTTAGAGCCGGTGTTTCGTTCCGCGGTCAGTGAGCCAGGCCGACCACACTCCTTGGATTTATCACATGGAAGTGCAAAATTCAGGATTGAAACACAGTGCTCCAGTATGTATTATGTTATCTATACTATATAGATGCCACCACACTACCACACTACCACACTACCACTGCCTGATCACTCCCTGATCACTGCCTGATCACTGCCTGATCACATAAAGCAGTCATTAGCGGTATATACCTCTGCACCATACCAGGTGGTATATGTATCCAATATTCTCCACCACACCAAGTGATATCCAATATTCTCCACCACACCAAGTGATATCCAATATTCTCCACCACACCAAGTGATATCCACTATTCTCCACCACACCAAGTGATCTCCAACATTCTCCACCACACCAAGTGATATCCAATATTCTCCACCACACCAAGTGATATCCAACATTCTCCACCACACCAAGTGATATCCAACATTCTCCACCACACCAAGTGATATTCACTATTCTCCACCACACCAAGTGATGTCCAATATTCTCCACCACACCAAGTGATATCCACTATTCTCCACCACACCAAGTGATATCCACTATTCTCCACCACACCAGGTGATATCCAACATTCTCCACTACACCAAGTGATGTCCAATATTCTCCACCACACCAAGTGATATCCACTATTCTCCACCACACCAAGTGATATCCAATATTCTCCACCACACAAAGTGATATCCAACTTTCTGTACTTACCACCGCACCACGCCAGGTGGAATCCAGCATTCTTGCCGTCTCTGGAGATTGGTACTCCTCATCTAAGTACATCTTGGTACTTCCCTGGTGATGCACATACATACACACACAAAGATGTACATACACACGTGCAAAGATGCACAGACACACAGACACAAACACATGCCACAAGCATCTTTGACACGCATGCACAAAAAAACTTGTACCGCTACTTGTTCATTGCTCCGGGAGTGGGGGTCGAGGTTCCGAATACATATTGGGCAAATGAGTCAACTGGCCATTGAACCTTCCAACGTCCACCCCCTGAGATCCCCAAACTCCGGACTTGAACTGGGAAATGATCCTACTTCCGGGCTATTGTGTAGCCCACTCACGGCATATTGCGTGGCAGACATATGGGCTACTGTGTGGTCCACATATGGACTACTGTGTGGTCCCTGTATGGGCTATTGTGTGGTCCATATATGGGCTACTGTGTGGCCCACATATGGGCTACTGTGTGGTCCACATAAGGGCTACCGTGTGGCCCACATATGGGCAGCTTAACACACAGTAGTAAGTTGGCGAGGACAGAGTAATCAAAAAGGATAGACAGTATCGAGGTATCATACACACACACACACACATACACATGTCACGGCTGTTATGCATGCATAATCCAGCGACATCATGTACGGTACGACATTTTCCCGTCGCCCCAGTGATCCATGATGCTGTCGTATGCGACCTTGCTGCCTTTTTCAAATCTCTGGAAATATTCGGCAAGGTTTCGCCTATGTTTCTGTCGATTCCAGCCGTTTTCTACGCTGGATTCGCGAAGTCTAAGCGAATTCACCTTCCTGCCTTCAAGCTGCGCAAGCAGATATTTTGATCGTCAAAATGCGCAATGGAAAGTGAAGTTACGATCTTTTTCGTTTCGTTCTTCCTCGTCGTGCCGGCCATTGGCGTTTATCAGAATTGGCTCACATTCGAGGCTTCCTCCTAAAGGGTGCAGAATTTTTGGCAGCCTTCACGCCAATTTTCATTGAAAGGTTTGTCCTTTTCCTACGTCGTAGTTATATTTTCATTGCCGCCCAGATTATCGTTTTCGTGCCCAAGTCGATTTGCGTGGCGTACTTGGACGTCAATTGCAAGTGTTTGCTGATATATGCAGGACGAGTGGAGGTGTGTTCTCCTGCCTCAATGTCTAACGAAGACCCCGGTTCGTCCGCCATAGGAGGGATCCGTGCATGCTTCGTTCTGGATGTCAGCAAGTACGAATCAGACAAGCATCCAATGAACATTTTTTTGAAATTCATGCTTTCGAAATGTATGTAGAAACAGACATTGTGTAGAGATTTTAAATGTCAGAGATGCAAGATTCCCCATCAGTCTGAGGCCTTACGTGTACACACATAGGCATGGGTTTTTTGTATTACTAGTGGTACTGCAGATTTAGGCCACGCACAATGTAGTCTTTCGACGATCCTGCTGAAAAGCACACACTTGCATGCGTAAAGACCATACTGAAATACTTCAAGTAATTGAACAACAACAAACGACAACCATGATGCAGCTTATATATCTTGCACTACATCAGCACTAGACACAGCATGGCACTCAGGACAGGGCCGCAGCCGCTGGTGATGGCCGTACCCGGTTTTACCACTCTCGGCGTTCATGATAATTACAATCATGTAACATGTTCAATATGCAAATGATTATGTAGAACACTAATAGGCTATCCTCGCACACTCCCCACTAGAGTCCCTCCTAAACTGCTTTCTTCTTTAGTGAGGACTACTGTACAAGCTGCATTATGCAGAGTATCTGTTGCTACCGGAGTGTGTAGGCGGAACAACCAGGTTATTATTCTGATGCGAATAAGGTTCAGTGTTGCCACATCATTATAGCCAAATATCAGTAGGATGAAAAAAAATAAAAAATGCATCAAAGCCCCCGGACCCCCCCCCCCCCCCCCCCCATTCACAGTAACCCCAATGTACACACATGCGCGCACGCGCGCGGAACTGTTAAGAAACCTTTCACGGCTTTGCGTGAGACTCGGGCTGAGTTTGCCGATTTTCCCCAGACAGCTGATGATTCGCTTAGCACCTTAGGAGAGAGCTATGGAAACACTCGTGATGAGCAGTAATAGCCAAAAATCTGGACCATGACTTCTAAACCAAGCACAAGGGCAAACTTGGATACTTTCATGGCTGTTGTCGGCAGGAGAAGGTCAATTGTCGGCAGGTCATTACAGGCCTCAAAAATCGGCAGGCTACTGACATGTCGGCAGGTGTGGCGAATAAGGTTACACAGCATCACGCATCTTCATGACCGTGCCATTCCTATGGAGCTGACTCAAGGCTTGATGGCAATGCAGTTCATCTGCTGAATTGACAGATGTCCATGAATTCATTTAAAAATAACAAGTCGATCAAGTGAGAATTCAAGTCGGCAGAATAGCGCAAGTTCCCACGTAGGGAGCAACACACAATTCCCCAAGTATTGCCGAAGTCGCATCAACCTCTTCTTCACATTAATTACAATACGGCGAATTAAATCAAAGCTGTAAGAAGCTAAATAATTCTGTGACTTGAAACAAGCATTGATAGAAGAATAACACCTATAGCAGGTCCATGTGCTTTAAAAGTTGGAGCGCAAATAGAGGATATCTTCCAGTCTCCAACTGGAAGCGTTGCGGGCAACCAACTCCGCCATGCTATGACACTTGATGATGTATTGTGGTACTTTGCTTATCACTGCAAGCCCACTGGTTGACTTGATCATCATCCATTGCTTCTTTCATGACGAAGATCAGCAGTGCAACTGTGGCAATAAATATCACCGCCTCCAATGCCGCACTTATTGGAGGAGCACATTCTACTGGAAATGAAACACTTCAAAGTTCAGTTAGTGCTGATCTGGAATAGTATGGAGAGTAGGGTGGTGAAGGGTTACACGCAAATTCAACATCCTTGCCGATGAGCACTGTGGAGCATGTGCAATGCAGAACTACTGTCCAATAGTATACAGAATCTGATTTCCAGCAATCCTAAAATCCTCACATTGATCCCAAGGTGAAGAGCACACGCATGAAGAGACGTACATGTAGCTGCTATGTCATCAACTTTGCGTTGAGAGAGTAGCAGACGATCGAATTCTATCCTTCTCCTTCTCCAAGATGAATTGCAATCAGTCTAACGATTTATTTGTGCTCTTTTCTTATGCACGGAAATCTGGCTGTAAGCTGTCCTCAG